TCTCTAATTTTCAAAGTTTCATATATTCTCCTATCATTAAATATACATATACACACAAAATACATATATATGTATATATATACAAAACACACGTAGATGTTTTTATATATACATATATACACATAGTTTTGATATTCATGTGTGTGTGTATGTGTGTGTGTGTGTGTGTGTGTGTGTGTGTGTATACACCAGTACTGAGGCTTGAACTTAAGTCCTCGGTAGTGGTCCTTAACTTTTTCTGCTCAAGGCTGGTGCTGTACACTTGAGCTATACCTCCACTCCTGTTTTTTTGGTGATTGATTAGGGATAAGAATCTCATAGACTTTTCTGCCCAGTTGAAATGATCTTCATATCTCAACTTTGTAAGAAGTTAATATTGTAGACTTGAGATCTTCTTTACTCCTAAAGTTCCTCTTTGATAATCAGAAATTTAAAATTTGTATGAACTTCAGTTTAACATTTCTTTTATACTCTTAAGAATTTTTTTGGGGGGGTCTGGTTGTGGGGCCTGAACTCTGGGCCTGAGCGCTATCCCTCAGCTCTTCAGCTCAAGGCTAGTGCTCTACCACTTGAGCCACAGTGCCACTTCCAGCTTTTTTCTTTTTTTTTTTGCTTATGTGGTGCTGAGGAATCGAACCCAGGGCCTCAGGCATGCAAGGCAAGCGCTCTACACTGAGCCACCTTCCCAGCCCTACTCTAAGAATTTTTATCAACATTTGCAAAGATATTGTTTTATATGTTCTTCTAGAAGGATAATATTTTTCTTTTTATGTTTAAGTCTCCTTAATCAATATCAGATTAAATGTCTAAAATGCCATCTTTGTGATAAATCAGTTTTCATATATGTGGACTCTCTCCAGTGTGTCTTTATTTTTCTTTCCTTTATGCCAATAACATACTGCTTAATTACTCCAGCTTTTCAATCATTCTGACATCCTGTTAGGCAAGTCTCTTGGCCTTGCTCTTCTTCAGGAGAATATTGGCTATTCTTGGCTCTATGTTCTTAAATAAAATCTCTGCAATCATTTTTTAAATTAACATTTCAACTTGGAGGTTTTTGCATCGATACAGTTACTGTAACTAAGAATTCTAAATTAGTGGGAGGTCAAGTTTGAATTAAAAAATTAATTTTCAAGAAAGCTCATATTTCACACAGAATCAAGGCCAAAATCGAAATGCTTTCTTCTTGTGCTCCTTCACTGTGGAGTGTTTTCTTAACATTCTCTTCCACTGAGGGCACAACTCCTCCATGCTACTAGATTTATGGGAAGAGTACCTATTAATTTTGTATGGCTTATGTAACAAATTACCACGACCTTAGTGACTTAAAAGAGCATAAATCTATTATTGCAGATCTAGACAGCAGACATGAGAAATCAGTTCACTGGATTAAGATCAATGTGTGCATGTACACACAGTCTCTCCAGAAGTGCTAGAGGAATACTCCATTGACTTCCCTGACTTCCAAACACACACTGATTTCCCTCCTGAGTGCATGGGCCACTTCCTCTCATTTTAAAGTCAACACAGGAGCATCTTCCAGTTTTCTGTTTACATTATCACTCTGCTTTCTCCTCCATAGTGAATGCTCTTCTGCACTCTCAGAATAACACTTGGTATTGCATTTAAGGTCCATCCTGATCATGCCAAATTCCATATTAAGGTTTTAAACTTATCACATCTATATTTACTGTGTGTGTGACTGTGTGCATGTGTGTGTGCGTGTTTGTGAATGTGTAAGTGGGGCTTAAAGTCAAGGTCTCTTGCTTAAACAATCACTTTACCCCTTGAACCACATTCCCAGAATCGTTTTTCTGGGGGGGGTCCGGTCGTGGGGCCTGAACTCTGGGCCTGGGCGCTGTCCCTCAGCTCTTCAGCTCAAGGCTAGCGCTCTACCACTTGAGCCACAGCGCCACTTCCAGTTTTGTTTTTTCTGCATATGTGATGCTAAAGAATTGAACCCAGGGCCTCATGCATGCAAGGCAAGCACTCTACCACTGAGCCACCTTCCCAGCCCCTCCCAGCATCTTTGCTTGTAGTTTTTTTTTCCCCCATAGTCTTGCACTTGTTCCGAGGCCAGCCTCAGACCAGTTTTCCTTTGCCTCTTGAGTAACAGAGATAATAGATGTTTGTGACCACTCCAAGTTTGTTTTTGAGACAAGATGTTATTGAATTTTTTTTCCTTTGTCCTTTGTCTGGCCCTGGACTGCTATTATCCTGTCTGTACTTCCCAAGTAGCTGGGATTACATGTGCACACCACCCTGCCCAGCTCTATAATTACTGTTACCATATAAGATCACATTTCCAAGTTACAGCCACTTGGACATACATATCACTCGAAGCTACTATTCAATATATCATAGTCTTAGTTATAACACAACCTTATTCAGGTTCACTGTTTTCTTACATAATCTTAAAAACCACATTCTTGTTGACTAAAACCAGGAATGCTTCCACCTATCCTGCTGCTACAATACTATCAATTCCTATGATCAATACTCCCATTTGCACTTCTTTCTACTATTTGGGCCTCTCAGTAGAACCTCTAATGTTTTAGGAGGTCAGATTTTAATTTAAAAATGTTTTCTGATTGGGCTTTTTAGGATTTTGTACAGGAATATATTTCAAGTATCTACTTTGTTCTGTCTCAAATACTGGACAACAACCAGGCACTCCCATGTAGCTGCTGTTCCCTTTGTATCACTAGACTTGTTCTTTTCCAGATTTCTTGCACCCAAAAGATCACAATTCCCAGTAGAATTCACCTCCATGACAATGTTCTGCCTCTTGCATCTTTTCCTCTCTTGACTTCCATGGTATCATGGCATTCTTATTGACTTTTATTGTTTTTCATATTTTGCAGGTTATTCTTTCTCTTTCTCCATTGCTCTCTTTATCCCAGACCTGACCTAAAACACTATTTCCATCTAGAACATCATTTTCTATTTATTTAATGACATAGTACAGCTTCAAGACAGTGGTAGAAATGCCTTGTGTGTAGAAAACTAAATGTATATCTTACATGTACACTGAAAAGTCTTGTAGTGTAGTGGGAAATAGACAGACAGACAGACAGACAGATGGATAGACTCTAAAGAAAATGTGCTATAGTGTGGTCTTGTTTGTAAACATTTGGGTAAATGCCCAAAAGTGGGATTGCTGGGTCATAGGGGAGCTCTATGTGGAGTCTTTTGAGGAACCTCCATAAAAGTTTAAACTCCCAGCAACAATGAAGTAAGGTTCCCTTCTGTCCACATCTCCTCCATCATCTGTTGTTGTTAGAGATCTTGATTTTTGCCATTCTAACAGGGGTGAGGTGGTATGTCAATGTTGTTTTGATTTGCATTTCTTTTATGGCTAGGGGTGTTGAACATTTCTTCATGTGTCTATTGGCCATCCTTCTTTCTTTCTTCTTCAGAGAAGTTTCTCTTTAAGTCTTTAGCCCACTCATTTATTGGGCAGTTGTTTGTATGTTTATTGCAGCATTATTTACCATAGCTATGATATGGAACCAACCCAGATGCCCCTCAGTAGATGAATGGATCAAGAAAATGTGGTATATATACACAATGCAATTCTATGCCTCCATCAGAAAGAATGACATTGCCCCATTTGTTAGGAAATGGAAAGACTTGGAAAAAATTATATTAAGTGAAGTAAGCCAGGCCCAAAGAAACATAGGTCCCATGGTTTCCCTTATTTGCAATATCTAGTATAGGTATGAGTCAAGCAGAAAAGGTCAGATAAGGTGATGTTAGGAAAATGAACCCTTAGATATATATTTTAATGCTTTTTTCTTTCATGCATTTGTTTCTAACGCATTTATAAGATTATCTCTTTGTTGCTTTGTATGTCCCTCCCCCACAGTATAACCCCTGCTTTCACTATATTTGATGTCAGTATAATTTGTGGAGGAGATGGGGAAAAACAAGTCGTTTAAGGATACACGTGGACCTGTTGCAACAATGAGAAGTACAAGTTGTCATATTGAAAATGAACTTTACAACTTTGGTGCGGGGGGGGGATGTGGGGGCGCGGGGGAGGGTTGGATGGGGGAGCAGGGGGAGGCTAGGAAGGGATGTGAAGGGTAAACAAAGGAGGAGGCTGCAATGCTTGATAAGAAGTGTACTCATTATCTTGCCCATGTAATTGTAACCCCTCTGTACAATATGTTCACAAAAAATTAAAATTAAAAAAAAAGAAAATGTGTTAATGACAAGTGAACTTCTGCCTAGCCATAAGTAAACATATGGTGAAGTAAATTCCTCTAGTTGTAGATATGATTGAGGAAACTACCCTTCTTCAGGCCTTCAAAATGAGTAGAGGACAAAAAGCAAAGTCCGATGTTCATTGGCTCCTTACAAAGTCCCCAGTTTCTTCTCTTTTGTTAGCTCGGTTTCTTACCCTTTACTTTGCCTAGTCTGTGCATTAACTTCATTTTCTTTGCCACTGAACATTTCTGTTCACTCCCCAGTTCCTGCAGCATTTTCAGTAATCTCACTACTTCTGACCTGCTTGCTAGGAATTGAGTTGCTTCTGGTCATTGATGGTTTGTACCTCAAATCCTAGCTGCTCTGGAGGCAAAGATCAGTGTGACTACAGTAGAAATCCTACTTAGAAGCCAAGAAGGCAAAATATTCACAAGACCTCATCTTAACCAATTAAAACGTTAAACATGGTGATGCACAACTGTCGTTCCAGCTAATCAGGATGCCTAAATAGGAGGATTGCAGTGCAAGCTAGCCTAGGCATAAATCCACAATATTATTGAGAAATATAAATTAAGAGGGTACGGAAACATGGCTCAAGTGGCAGACCATCTGCTAAGCAATTATGAGGCCCTCAGTTGAAAGCCCAATACTTCCAAGAAGAAGAAAGAAAAGAAGAGCAGGAGGAAGAGGAGGAGAACTCAATGGTCTTTCTTTCATAAGAAAGGTGGCCACTGCCAACAATAAAATTGGAAAATGTCTCTCTCCATGCTATATGAAGCAATACTTACCAAAGACCGTGCGGGCAGGGACAGATTCTCGGTTGAGCCAGAAAGATACTTGTGAAAGAATGACAGTCATGATGCATGGCAAATAGGTCTGGATCACAAAGTAGCCAATTTTTCGCTTCAGATGAAAGTGAGTTGTCATGACGACATATTCTCCTTAAGACAAAGTAAAATTAGATGGCATATAGTCACATATGTATCATTCAAACAAATTGGGCCCCAATTCAGTTAACAAAGCTCTTCAATTTTGTAGTCAATATATAACACCCCAGTGCCTCCCAAGCCCAAGTAACTAGAAGTCTTTAACCATCATAAAATGGTATGTTTTCATTGTGAAAAAACAAGCTGATGATGTACAAGTACAGCTTTCTTAGAGCAAGTTTGATACAAGTTTATTCAAATAAATTCACATTCTTCCTGTAAACAATGAGAAATTATTGTCTTCTAAAACACTGTTATAGGTTATGAAATTAAAAATATATATTTCATTTGTATAAATAAATACTCTGGGAGGTATCCAAGTTACAAATGAATTAACTGAAGTAGAATAGACTGTTCGGAATGCTTTAGTGGTATAATTCTTTAGAAAGACTTAGTCAAAGCCCAACAAAATAAAAACCAGGAAGTGGGTACTTGTAAGAGGAGAGGGCAGGGCCAACAGGAGATGGGTAGAAGAATGAAGGGGGAAGGGGAGAGATCGCAGGCAAAAATGCATACTATAAGCTACAGAACTGAGAAAAACAAGGGGTGGTTCGGGGAGGAATATATTGAAAGGCTGACGCAGATCAAGATAGATGTGTTGTAGGCATAAACTGCTTTGTTAAATGGTAAGAAGAAATTCAATACCTAACACCAAAATTAAGAAAAGTGAGGGAAGGGGTGGGATCGGAGGGATGGGTGAGAATGTGGAAAGGGGTGACATGGACGAAGAAGGACTGAATTGATAAACTGCTTGGTTAAATGGCAACTCCTTTGTACAACTATTTAAAGATAATAAAAATATTCAAGATAACTTGATTCTCACAACAACCTCATAAGAGAGGGGAAGAAATTGATATTCAGAGAGACTTCACAGCTTTCACAGGGCTAGGTTGCCCAGGAAGGAAGTTGTTTCTCAAATTCAAACCAGACAGGTTGGGCTCCATGGCTGCTTCTTTATCCCCTTACCTTTTATTCCACTAGACTTCTTTGGTTGGAACCAAAATTACCCCTTCTAACTCCCTGACCTCTCTGGTCTCCAGTTATGGTTCCTTGAATTTCGAAAACTTGACACACATCAGGATATAGGATTTATACTTCTCTCTCACTTCCTCCTTTCCTCTCTCCCTCCCTCCCTTCTCTCGGTATTCCAATCAAGCCCCAGTCTTCAATATCTTAAACTTTGATGGTTCCCTAATCTGTACCTTCTGCCTGGTCTTTCTGACTGCTATGGGTTAAACTGTGTCTCTTCAAAAGATACCGTAGATTTCATTTGAAAATAGGGTTGTTTCAGATATAGTTAACAGAAACCTTACTAAAACAAGGTGAACAGAAAATCAATATGAGGAACCTCCATACTGCTTTCCAAAGTGGTTGAACAAGTTTACATTCCCACCAACAATGAAGTAAGGTTCCTTTTTGTCCACATCCCCTCCAGCATCTGTTGTTGTTAGAGTTCTTGATTTTTTGCCGTTCTAACTGGAGTGAGGTGGTATCTCAATGTTGTTTTGATTTGCATTTCTTTTATGGCTAGGGATGTTGAACATTTCTTCATGTGTCTATTGGCCATCCTTCTTTCTTCTTCAGAGAAGTTTCTCTTTAAGTCTTTCGCCCACTTGTTTATTGGGCAGTTGTTTCTTTGAGGATTTGTTGTTGGGGGGTTTAATTTTTTGAGTTCCAAGTATATTTTAGATATGAGACCCTTGTCTGTTGTATGGCTAGTAAAGATCTTCTCCCAATCCGTGGGCTTTCTATTGATCTTGCTAGCTATGTCATTTGCCCTGCAGAAGCTCTGCAACTTTATGCAGTCCCATTTGCAGTATGGAGGTTCCTCAAAAGACTCCACATAGAGCTCCCCTATGACCCAGCAATCCCACTCTTGGGCATTTACCCAAATGTTTACAAACAAGACCACACTAAAGCTACCAGCACAACTATGTTCATTGCAGCATTATTTACCATATTTAAGATATGGAACCAACCCAGATGCCCCTCAGTAGATGAATGGATCAAGAAAATGTGGTATATATACACAATGGAATACTATGCCTCCATCAGAAAGAATGACATTGCCCCATTTGTTAGGAAATGGAAAAACTTGGAAAAAATTATATTAAGTGAAGTAAGCCAGGACCAAAGAAACATAGGTCCCATGGTTTCCCTTATTTGCAATATCTAGTATATGTATGAGTCAAGTTGAAAAGGTCAGATAATGTGATGTCAGGAAAATGAACCCTTAGACATGTATTTTAATGTTTTTTCTTTCATGCATGTGTTTTTAACGCATTTATAAGACTATCTCTTTGTATAACCCCTGCTTTCACTATATTTGATGTCAGTATAACTTGTGGAGGAGAGGGGGAAAAAACAGTTGTTTAAGGATACAGGTGGACCTGATGCAACAATGAGAAGTATAAGTTGTCATGTCCAAAACGAGCTTTACAACGTCGGTCGGGGAGGGGGAAAGGGGGGGAAGGAGAAGGGTTGGGATTGGGGGGGAGGGGGGAGGCTGGGAAGGGATGTGAAGGGTAAACCAAAGGAGGAGGCTGCAATGCTTGGTAAGAAATTTACGCATTATCCTGCCCATGTAATTGTAACCCCTCTGTACAGTATGTTCACAAATAAAAAATAAATAAATAAATTTTAAAAAAAGAAAAAAAGAAAATCAATATGGTTGATAGTCTTCTAAGTTGAGAGAGACATACAGAGGGACAACACTATGGATAGCAGAGGCACAGACTCACGAGGTACCTCCAAGCCAAGTATCACTAAGGATTGCTAGCCACCACCAAGCTGGGAAGAATCATAAACAGATTCTCAGAGTTCTAGACAGAAATAACACTTGCCATGTGTTGACGTCAGATTTCTAGCTTCCAGAACAATAAAGTTCCATTGATTTCAGCTACCCAACTTGTAGTAATTTGTTATATTGCCCTGGAATTCTCTACTCACCTGTAGATATATATACTCAACTACCTATTGAACATCACTACCTGGGGATAGAATAGCACATCCCCAAACATGTCTGGATTAAGGCTTTTCTCTTCCCACTTTATATTCTCCAAAGCTAATAGATTTTTCCATTTCAAAAGAAGCTTAAACAGAGATACAGGTTGACCCACTGTAACAATGAGATGTACAAGATGTTATGTTGAAAACAAACTTTACAACTTCAGACGTGGGGTGGGGGAGGGAGGAGTTGGGGAGATGGGGAGGGAAGGGATGGTAGGGGAAAAGCAAAGGAGGAGGTAACAATGCTCCATAGGAAATGTGCTCATTACCTTGCTCATGGAACTGTAACCCCTCTGTTTGCTATTTTTACAATAAAAAAAAAAACATTTTAGGGCTGGGAAGGTGGCTCAGTGATAGGGCGCTTGCTTTGCATGCATGAGGCCCTGAGTTCGATTCCTCAGCACCACATAAGCAAAAAAGAAAAAAGCAGGAAGTAGCGCAGTGGCTCAAGTCGTAGAGCGCTAGCCTTGAGCTGAAGAGCTGAGGGACAGCGCCCAGGCCCAGAGTTCAGGCCCCAGGACCGGACCCAAAAAAATCCAAACATTAAAACAAAATAGCTCTATGCAGGTGCTAGTGGCACACACCTGTAATCCTAGCTACTCAGGAGGCTGAGATCTGAGGATCGTGGTTCAAAGCCAGCCCAGGCAGGAAAGTTTGTGAGACTCTGATCTCCACTTAACCATCAGAAAAACCAAAAGTGGCACTGTGGCTCAAGTGGGAGAGCTCTCGCCTTGAACTAAAGAGATGAGGGACAGTGCCCAGGCTCAGAGTTCAAGCCCCACAACCAACCAAAAGAATGAGCTCTAGATTGCCTGAACTATAATTATTATGTTCAAAATGCTTTCCGTGCTTCATAGTCTTGTTCAGCTTGCTTGTCCATGGCTGTCACTCAACCACTTGACTCATATCTCCAAGCCTGGCGTTTTGCTAGTCAATTAGAAACAAGAATTCTGGAGACCTTTTCTGCCTGGGGTACCTTCAAACCACTCTTCCAGGTCTCAGCTTCGAAATTCACTAGTATTATCGGAGTGAGCCACCAGTATCCTGTTTTAAATCTCCAAAATTCTAAATACACAGCATCATCTTTTCTTCTCTTTCTCTCTTTCTTCCTTCCTCATTCCATTTCTCCTTCTCTCTCCCCTATACCTCTTTTCTCTCTCATCTATATCTATTTTTACTTCTGTCCTTTTCCTTTTTTCAACTTTCTCTTCACACTGATAAAGAATTGAAGATTTTAAGATTGATTTTTCCTGAGAACCAGAATGTGATTAGCTTGGGCAATATTCACCCTTCTCTATTTTAGTGTCATACTCATGAACTCATTATTACCAAACCTATCTCTGATTATGTGGGATATTAAGTATTTAAAATATTATTTGTGAATCAGCTACAGTCTGTGAATCTAAAAAGGAAAGAAAATGTACTTTTCGAAAAGTTATGAAATCAATCATTTTAAAATAACCAATTATATGTTCTTCAATCCTCTCCCTTGCCAGCCTTTCCTTCTCTCTCTGTGCTGCTGCTTCTCTTTCAAAGAGGCAAAGGAAATTCTACACAGTGAGAGCTGAAGCCTTTTCACCATGTTGAGGGGGATGTTCCATTCCTTTTTACTGGGTCCAATGAAAAGTGTAAAAAGGACAATGAACTGCCACCTTTTCATCTTCATACTCTAGAGAGTCTCTTTTGTGTGGTACTGGGCCCTGTGCTTGCTAGGCAGGTGTTCTACTACTTGAGCCATACCTCCCACAACTGTCTATGTAGTTGAAAAGCTTAACAAAATCAATTAGGTGAATAGGAGGTATTTGAAAATATAATGCTAATATCTTCTGCCTCTCCACACCTTCTCTGCTAAAGTGAGAAGATTTAATGAGATTGAACGATTTTTCCCCAACTTTTCCTGTCCTATTTCTACCCATGTGTTCCAGCTTATTAAACTTGTTAAGGAC